TATGATGTATGTATGTATGTATGTATGTTCTTTTAACAATTCTCTTAGAATTGTTAGGAAGTCAAATGTTTATTTCAGAGAAACTTCTTTACGCAACAAGTGTAATTTAAAACACTTATAACATTTTTTATATATTTTTTTAAATTTTTGTTGTATTAATTACATTAGATTTACTAAAATAAATACCATTGTTTAAAAATTTGAATTATATTTTACAAGAGTTATCACAAAAATAAGTTTGACTTATTCTTGACATAATTTATAATAAATTAAAAATATTTTATCATATATATTAACATGGAATGTCAAAGTATTTTTGAAATTTTTGAGATTCTATGATTGTAAAATCTGTATTAAATATTAAGCAAAATTTGATATGAAATTAAATAAAGCTAAAAACTTATTGATCACACATGTGTCAAACATGATAAAATTGTGAAAAATATTGGTCTAATTTTTATATATAAAATTTGATAAGTTAAATGATCAATAATATTAACTTGTGTTTAGCCTTTCAAATATTTAAATAAACATATTGTATTTGCAAAATTATTTAAACTTTGAAATAAATATTAAAATTTTAAATTACAAATCAAATAAGAATTTAATTATTTAGATTTTTGTAAATGGAAAAGAAAATTAATTCAAATAGCAAGTCTAATTGACAGTATTTTTCATAAAAACTATTGTTATTCAAATGAAAAAATAAAAACCTTTACTTAAACATGAATTACTAATTTCTTATCATAGTTTTAAGAAAAGGTCTCTTCATTAATAATTTTTGTACGACTTTGTTTTGTAATGTAAGATAATATTTTATCATAATATTATAACAGAATAGTTAATATTATTTTGATTTAACAAATAGTAAATCAATAATAAAAGACAGATCTAATGTTTAAAAGTTTCAATTAATTTAAACACACTTGTTAGTTCTTCTCTTCACTATATAGTATCCAATGTTTCTACCATTTCTGTTTAGTGTAACTGATTTCTTAGCAATATGAGAATGATTACTGCAAGAGAGGTTTGTATCATTCAATTTGTTCCATATAATATACATACTAGACACATTCACTTTATGTGCAGTAATAGCATTTCGTAATGTGCAAGGATCCAATTTACGTGGAACATAACTAAATCCAGAATGATTTACAGGTCGTACTTTTGCATGCTTTGCACAAAGACCAGTAATGTAAACATCTTCCAAATGAAGTAATGGTGTTGTTAATGCTGCATGATATAATTTAAATGCCACATCTAAACTCATTACATATCCAGTACCAGATAAATAATTAGGATATATTCTTTCAGAATACATATATTTTGGTGTATACCTAATTAAACACATTTATATCTCTTTTTATACATCCTTATCTATTTACACTATGATATGAATGTTACTTACCACTTATTATTTGGATCTAAAATAGGTTTGGCATTGCAGATAAGAGAACCTAATAATGTATTAGTAGTTTGTGATCTTGATTGTAAGGTTCTCATTAAAGTAGGAATATTTACAAACATATCATCATCTGTTTTCATGAGATATTTTGCTTGGCCACAATTTGATGTTACCCATTTCAACATCATTACAGACTTCAATGTTAAATTGTTATAAGTATCATAAAATTTTTCTTGAATAATATCATTGTGTCGATGGCTTTCTTCAGCTATCATGCTCTGTAAAGTAAATTATTATTCAAAATTTGTATCTACAGCTGTCAAATTTCACATATAGACACATACATTAAGTGTATCATTATCACTTTGACCCAACAAAAATGCTACCTTCACAGTTGAATTGTATGTATTATTTAAATTATTTTTGTTAGCCCAAGTATTTCTTATAGCTATCCGAGCCTTAACATTTGTAACAGCTGAACAAATAACTATGAAAAGATATGGTGATGGAGAACATATATCATTAGGATTTAAAATTGAAGTTGTATTTTCTGGATGAATATACACACAAAGATCCCTTGAAGTATTATATGCCCATCCTGGCAATTGTGCTGTAAAATATTTACATTTTATAAAAATGTTTTACTTTTTCTCTAAGAAAAATTGTATTTATGAAATTTTTTTCTTTAAGCTTTGATTTTATGTGCATGCCTAAATTAAATAATTATTTTATTTTAGCATCACTCAAGCACTCTGCAATAAGTAGACAGAAAAAGAAAGATTGAATTATACTATTAATGTTTTTTCTAATTATTCAAATTTATTTTTCCTTTTTGCTAATTCTAATTTTTCAAATTTATTTTTCTCTTTGCTATATCTATAAATATATGATTGACTAAATTAAACTAAATTAGAATAGATTAACGTTTATCATCATATATTATTTCTTGAAGATTTAATATGATAGTAAATAATATGTAAATATAATCTATGATACTTTTTAAGCTTACATATTGTAATCCACAGAATTTAAATATGAAATTGACTAATAATTATAAAAAGAAATATAAAAGCAGATTTATATAGTATTGTTAGTTTATAACACAACAAAGGCTCTAGCAATGTTAGCGGATGCATACCTACTGAGGCTACCAAATGTGAAACACCAATGTGTTTTGCAGGAGATGGAGTCTCACCTAAGCCTAAAAATGGACCTTGGGCAGAATGATACGCTGGTACATATAGTAAACCTAATGTAGCCAAAATTACAAATCCAACTGCTAATCTTCTAACAAATGATATCTTTCCTTTAATTGCTCCATTATTATTTATATTGGTGGCTGATGGCAATTCCAATGGCAGTAATCGCAATTTGTCCATCTAAGAATAAATAATACATATTATACTTATTTTATCAGTTTTCTTACTTATTTGATTCCATCTATTTAATTGCTCAAAAAAAATGAACTAAATATTATGAAATAAAGTAAATGTCTATATTAGAATTGGAGTCAAATATTATACATTTCAAATACTGAAACTATTTTAAACATAGATTAAGCTTTTAGAATTAATTTGTTTCAGAAGTGATGTGGCAGTTTAATTCAATTATAGGTGTATCAATAGTAAACAGAAATTTTAAGTAAATTATTAGTATGGTAAATCTATATATTATTGATATATTTGTATAAATTATAGCAAGTATTATTAAACGTTGATATAAAAACAAAATTCAATTTTTAAATTAGATTAATATCGTAAACAATTTTACCTTTTAGATGCAATGATTGCGTTGCGCTGCATTTGACAAATCTCCATTTACTTCTGTGGTAAATTGCATTTACGATTTATCGAAACATATCGTAAAAATTTAACAACGTTTCAGAGTGAATAATATAAAAATAAAAAAAGAAAATACTTTTATTTGGATCTTTGTGATTTTGCGAATAGAGACTGAATCCAAATGATTGTTAGATATCGCGCGAGTGCAGTTCCACCTAGTGTTAATTATCTGGATTGTTTATTGGATAGTAACAGCATTGACTAAGAACAGAATAGACATGACGTTATATAGGATTTAATGTCTCATTTCTGAAATATCGACATCGAAAATAAAATCTTACGTTCTTTGCGATTTACTATGGCAAATATAAAAATTATACCCATTCAGTTACTAAGACAATAATATCAGTAGTATTATTCTCATTATAATTAATTGGAATAGTGATTTTATACAATATCTATAATAAAAAAGTAATAGAAAAGTCTTTTTGAATAGAAAAGTATTAGAAAAGTCTTTTGAATAATAAAAAAGCTTTTTTGAACTTTAGTAAATTAAATACATTAAATTAATAAAACTTAAAATTAAGGTACGTTTATTTAATTTAAACCAACTGTCTTATTTACTAGACAGTAATTAGAAAAAGAATTGTTTTCGTATTTCCATATAAAATACGCAATGGTTTTATTTTGAGTCACAGACAAGGTATATGAATAAACCAAGCATTTTACGGGATTTCGTGGCTCGTGACCTGAAATACCGACATAGTAAAAAAAATCACTGGTTTTTTGGCGCACTCTATGTTTAAACAACGGTAAGTTGGGGAACTAGTGAATGCGCCAGCAATATGATCTTTGATCCATTACTGTTGACTTTCAATACTGAAATGTGAAGCTGGTCTGTGACTATACCAAATAAAATGATACAAGCAAAATGTTTAATCGTATCTCCACATTCCAAAACACGAGATTAATATCTAAAATTATTCTATTATGTATATGTCAGAAAGAGCTCTATTCGTTTTAAGAATTTATCGACTGGTTTTTCGTTGGAAATGATAAAATTATTACTTATAACGGGATATTTTATTTATTGAAATATACTTAGGAAATATATTTAGAACGGATCTGATATTTAATCAAAAAGGAGACATAGAAAAGATCTATCATTTTATCGAATCATATGTTTTAAAATATCCATCAAAATCTAAAGTCTACGGTCTTCGACAATAATTACAAATATACACGCTATATATTATCATAAAAAAATTTTAATCTATAATTTTAGAAATCAAG